ATATTGCGCTACTGTCTCTGTTGCACTATGGTGAAAAGGGGAAGACATTGAACACCAATAAGAAAACATGATGCGTTGAAATTATGACTATAAGTGTATAAATACTTCTGACAACCCGTGAGAAAAGTAAATAGTCCCACTTGGAGAAATTTTATAACTAAATATAAAGAAAAAATAGCTAGAAAAGGATTGCACAGAAAAAGAAAAACCCTAGAAAAATAATTAAATTAATGGCTCCAGAGACGCGAAGCTTCAATCATAATTCATTCGGCACAGAGCAAAGTAGAAAGCAAAACGAGACACTAGGGAGTTTTTTGTAATATAAGTTTAATATTATATTTTTAGTTCAATTACTTGGTGTTAAAAACTTGCATTTGTGCCACAGTTGCAACCGAAATATTTTATAATTTAGGGGAGAGCTTGTAATTTAATAAACAAATAAAGTAAACAATAAACTGTTTATTCCGCAAAGCTGTAAAATACCTTAAAAAATTACAAAACAATTTCGAAAAGTTTACATGTTCGAGGGTTTTTCGTAAGTTCCCTTAGATGCTCAAAACTGTGTCTCTTTTGTTCTGAAAAGTCCACCACGTAGGTGAACTTGAAAAGGTACATTTGAAAAGTTGCAACCAAATTAAAACTTCAGGACGGGTAACAAGGATGGATACTAAGCTTATACATACAATGCAAAATCTTGCTTCGACCTTAACTCGTTTTTAATACTACTTACTATTTATCACCAGCCGATTAATAAATTTCTCTCTCTTAAACCCCATTGTTAAGCTGTAAGTAGATCTACAATTATCAATATATCATAACGTATATTTAGAAAGTCATCATCACAAGCACCTACTTCAGAATTGCTTCTAATAACAAATTATTAATAAATGAACTACTATGCACCTAGAATTCTGTAAATGATAAGGCAGATAGTCTAAAGTTCGAGTTCCCAGCTGCTGTAATAATCTAAATAAAACTTAGGTTACATTACGGGTTTCTCGTAGTTAAACTACCCTAACAGAAAGGAAAACTTTTTACATTCTGGTCAAAGAATGGCCTTTGGCTATTTTCCAATTAAATGAAATTCGCAGTTCCGAATGAACTTTCGATGTTTGTTCTTATTCGATTGGAGCTCCATGTTGAACTTTGAATAACTAAAATAAATCCAAGTTCGTAATCATTTGAAATAGTGAATTGTTACAGGCGTAATTTGTTGTAAAAGAAACCTAAATAGCTTTGAGTTGTAATAATTTATTACCCAGCTTAGTTGCTGGGTATAGTATAGTACTGTATGTTTTTCATGTTAGCACATAAAAAATTAATATGTTACGGTTGAACCTTGAGCTTGGCTAATCTAATGTAATGTCCGTCTCAAATGAAGAAATTCATATGTTGATATTAATTAACATTACCTGGTTAATGTCGAGATCAGCAATCTTCTCCTGTTTATTGAATTAATTAAATTTTATTAAATACATTGATATTAAGCTAGCAGTTTCAACCAGTAACAAGAGATGTTTCATATTCGGACATTAAGCGACGAAATATGTAATTCTCGATACTAACTTAACTGGATAACATTGGGATTAACATAATTTCGAACGTTAACCATAACATGTGTACAAGGCTATTCTAAATTATCGTGATGCATTTTAAAAGATTATCCTGGTTTAATTGTCGAGGGCACCAGAAAATATAACTTGAAGAGGATAATTTCAGTTTTGCTGTTAAGAAATATTTTAATAGTTCACTGATCGTTAGTCAGAGTATTAGTGTACGTAAACACTATCAACAAGATATTGTGTAAGTTGCCTCAAGGTAAGCGGAAACGAATTGGGCAAAATGTAATTTTGTAATTTTTTAAACTTGCTGGTAAAGCATATGTAGTATGTTTACTAATAGTTTCTGAATTGTTTTGTACCAAACTTCAATTGTATCACAATTTTAACAATTCATTAATTTTACTTCTTTTCGGTATACATTAAATGGACAAATTCTTTCATCTATTAGAAGCTCTAGTTTTTTGTTTATTAAATGCATTCTTTTGAAAAAGTGTCTGCAACCGCAGGACTGAATCCTGACGTTATTAGGGTACTCGTATGCAATGATTAAGACAATTTCGCATTAAGAAAATTACTACTCATGGAAATCCATTGAAATTTTGGCAGAGACCACAAAAAGTAAATTTAAATATCTATTTTTATGTAACGAATCGCAGTAGGTACTAGCTCAAACAGCTTTCATCTAATATTTCATATTATTTATAGTAAACTACATAATCAAACGAAATAAAAAACCCTTCTCAGTATTTTTAATAAATCCGTATATTTTGCACCATACTCAGATCCGATAAACGCCAAAGTGTTTAATTTTTTTTTAATTTTTAAAACTTTTCACATTTTCTAAATTTAATAAAGGTAATAAGTATGTGTAATATAATAATAAGGTAATTTTATTATTTCTAAAAAATCATGAAGGAGTTTTGTCGGCTCCCTAATATTTCATGGGTAACTTAATTACTTTAAGCCAATTGGCTTGTTTGCAGTGTAATTATGTTGCATTAGACGTCTGCTTTATTTCAGTTTCCATAACAAAAATCTATAAATGTTTCGTAAATAACATCTTTTTTGCACTTTGGTTGAAAAGGCCCACTTTTAATAAATTTGGAGGAAAGCAAAAAAAATGTATCCAGGCAACTATAAAATTAAAAATGTTTAATCTCAGTTGTATGGAGCGGCATATTGTAGCTAATAATAAATATATAATAAACGTTTCTGTGCCATTGTTCATAAATCCATCAAAACATTTAAAACCATTTACGACAATTGAATATACAACCGGTTGTTAAAACAGCACATATTTCTTCTGTAAAATGAAATGCAAGTTTCTTAAATCGTACTAATTTTTCATGGAAAAAAATATGCAGCAGTATACAGATTTCAAATAAAAATCAGAGAATTTAAAGTGTATCTGCAAACTTCCTGACTATAGAATAACGGTTGATTATTGAAGGTCAAAATTAGTTATTTTCTTGGAAATCATTATCTTAAATTTGTACCTTAAATAGCTTAGAAGACATTCAAATACGAGTTAAATTTAATATTAGAATATAACCCTTACCGTTGCCAATAATTTTGATGAAAAAAAGAACACAATATTGGGTAAATACTGGTTAGGGGTAAAACATTATCATAATGTTAACATGGATTTTAGCTTAATCAACTGAAGCTGTACCATATGAGTTTCAAATAGGGACTCAGCTTCCAAGTGTATATTTCTTCGTGAGTAAATATTGTTTAATGACATGGGGCAGATATTTTTAAACCTTTACTTAGTTATAAGTATCACTTTCCAACCCGTAAGTCGCGAATACTTTTTTCACCAAACCTGGGATATAAAGTATGCGTAATTCTAACCATTTTTATCAACATCACTATATGTAGATTGTATTATTAAATATACAAATATCATTAAAAAAATAAGAAATGGATTGTAAAATTTGTATTCAAAAGTTTCTTGATGTTATTACCTATACTGGCTTTATTCATAAGGCAATTGTATGCCTTTGTAGCTTAAATATTATTTGGGGCATATGGGCATCGCGGGTGGCTCGAATGAAGAACAATCCACGGAGGAAGTTCGATTTTCAACGACTTTGATTCCACCAGATCATAAAAAAAGCAGATCAAACAGTGAGTTTTCCTGATTATAACAGCGTCTAAATAATGGCTTTCTCATTTCGGATGTTCGTTGCTCAAAATTCGATAGTTTATTTCTAAAATCGCTGTTCAGTTTGCTAAAAAGTTTGCTAAGTGAGCTTCGTCCATTTGACGGTCGACATAATGGTTTTTGATTCAATGGTTGCGTAAATAAATAAAATTTCCGGATTTAGACCGACGAAAATCCAGAAGCCATTATTGAGACGCCGTTATATCCAGAAAAACTCACTGTTTTGTTCCTTGAGGCTCTGGTGGAATTTTGGAAGTGGTCGAAAATTGGACTTCCAGATTGATCTTTAATCGACCCAGCCGCGGCCCCCAATTACCGCAAATCATACTCAAGTTGTAATTTGTATGTATGATATCCAAAAGTCGATATTGATTTGCACAGTACCGTGCATTTGTTATTCTTTATTTTTTTATCAGCGCCGTAGCAAATTGATTATATTTAACATAATGATTCACTGCATTTATTTATTTATTTATTTATTTATTTATTTATGTAACCAGATAATTACATATATCTTATACAATAATCCTACTGAGATAGACCAGCTATCCGTACATAGGCTGGTGTACTTAAAACTAATTAAAAACTATTCTCAAAACAATCCAGGAACTATGCTTTTCTCCGATTCAATTGATTTTAGCATTCAGTATTTAGCATTCAGTATAGTGTATATTGACTTGTAAAATCTGTCAGTGGAAACATGTTCGAGTACATACCAAAAATATAAAATAAAATTCCCGAAAACAAAAAATACAAGAAAGTAACAACACCAGAGAGACAGAGAGAGAGTTACGTCCAAATTTATAATTTATCATGTTTTATTGCAACTCGTCTGTATAGGAGTTTTTTTATTAAGCTTTTATTCGCTTTAAAATGTTTTTAATGCCTTGTTAACAAACTCAGGCATTGTTTCTTGGGTAGCCCAATCTATAATTGCCGGCGACTTCGTCACATAGCAAATAAGTATATGCATATCTTATTATTTATCAAACATTAAGTGGGACAATTGTGTTAGAAGAGGCACTCGTACATTCAAAAAAAAACTTATATTTTAGTTACCAAAACAAGTCGTTATCAGCGTGTATTGTTATATGTGGGCATTACAAATTAATTATTTAATGTGTCTATAATAAGAAGCGTCTATTATGATTTATTTGTCAAATAAATCATGATGTAAGAGTGGAATTATTTTATTTACCGAATAAGGCTTAGGTTGGTTTTCAAATTTCGAGTGCAGATATTTGTTCACCAAAGTCCTTATAATCAATTAATCATTATTTCAAATTGTGGTATCTTCGATAATCAGTTGTTGTTATTCACATTTACAAAAACAAACTCATACCGCATATAAATACAACTTTGTATCTGATATCTTACAACTGTGTTCTGCAAACTGCCCTCATGAAGGTTGTCGGTGAGTTAGTGCTGATCCGTTCAATTTCAGTTGGTTAATTGTTAAGTCCACATAATTCAACATAAAAAGTAGTTACAATATTTACACTCAATTGTTTCAACTCACCGAAGCTTGTCCTTAAAATGATTTGAATTTAGGTTCTCATTGTAAAGATAGAAGCTATACATAAAAAAATGGCTGACATCATATAAATTATCGGGGGTAATTGCACAAGTGCTTCAAAATTACCGATAATTTTGTATGAAAGCTTGTTGTCTAAAAACTGCATGAGTTTATTTTCATATTGTGGCGAAAAAGTGTGTCGATCCAATGTGAAAATAAACTCATGCAGTTTTTAAACAACAAGCTTTCATGCAAAATTATCTGTTTAAAGTAGTAGTAAAGTATGAACCTGAGTAAACAAAGTTAATGTGGATTAATTTTATTTCTATTATATTTTATTACACTTTTAATTTTATTACTTATCTTTATTAAATAGAATTTGAATATCTTAGGTATGTCAGGAAGACATTTTATGTCTAATTCAACATGAAAAGACACCTGTCAAATATTTTTTGTAAACAATGCAATTATCGTTGAGTGATAATTGCACAGTGTGCAATTACCGCTGTAATTTTTCGATAATTGCACACTTCAAACGGACAGATTATCATGCGAAGGAAATATTCTTCTTAATATGTACTGTAGTACGGGGATCCAGTTATCCGATAACAAAGTCATAACGCTGGGAAATTTCTATATTATAACATGACGAAGAAGCTGCATTCGTAGACGAATACAGTCTGTAATATCCTTTCATCTTGAATACCCAAGATTTATTTCTTTCCTACAATTTCATTGAGATGTGCTCTTAAAAGGCAATAATAAATTTCCAATGCAATTTACAACATAATTCCAAGAAACGAAGTTTTTATGAACATGTATTAGGTTTCATTTGGTCACATAAAGTCTTCTTTCTTTATTTTCTTCTTTTTCATCTGACTTTCAAAATACAAAAACGAGCGGACTCAGTTCAATTCTTATAGTACGTAAGTCATTGTGGATATACACGTGCAGAAAATTTACTATTGCACCGATCGGCTGAAGAAATAAGTGAAGAAATGATAAGAACAAGCAAATCTATAATGTGTTTGCACAGAAAAACAAAATTATCGTGCATTCGGTTTTCTTTTGCATACATTCTAGTATTACTATAAATGTGATTTCAAATCAAAATTTCAAATCAAACGAATATTAATTAATTTGCATCAATTTTTTCTGTGGCGTCCAGTAGATCTGATAAGAATTCAATTTTAGCACTCTTTCTCTTGGTGGTGGGCTGTGCCATCGCCGACCAGACCCCTCCTGGCACATCGACTCGGCCGATCCTAACATCTAGCGAGGCTTCAAATTATCAAAAATCAAACTACCTTCAGGGATGGAGTCCCGAAAGTATCAGCACCAGTAGTGCTGACTACACTGTGGGAAGTGGTGGATACAGCACTATTCAAGCTGCCGTAAATGCTGCCATAAAGGCCGGAGGCTCGTCAAGAAAGCACATTAAAATTAGCGCCGGAACCTACAGTGAAGTAGTCTACATTCCCAGCACTAACGTACCCTTGACACTTTACGGAGCCGGAAGCAGCCCTTCAAATACAGTAATTTCGCTTAGCTTATCAGCCCTCATTTCTGGCTCAACGTATAAGAATATGGTTGGAGGTTTGTTTTCATCTGGTGATCCAGCTTACAGCATGTTTGAGAGTTGTGCTAGCAAAAGCGCTATTGGAACCAGTTGCTCGTCTGTATTCTGGGTTAAAGCAGCTAGCGTTCAAATTGTGAACTTGACAATCGAAAATTCCTCTAAAAATACTGGCACTGATCAAGCTGTAGCTCTTCAAACCAACTCTGATAAAGTTCAAATCGAAAACAGTCGCCTCTTGGGACACCAAGACACGTTTTATTCCGGAGGTGGTGGAACTACAACCCAAAGAAGTCATGTCACAAACACTTATATAGAAGGTGACGTCGATTTTGTGTTTGGTGGAGGTACTACTGTATTTGAAGGATGCACCTTCCATGCCAAAGCTGACCGTAACAGCGAGGCAGTAGTATTCGCCCCAGAAACTGACCCAAGCCAAACCTATGGTTACTTGGTAGTGAGTAGCACCATCACTGGAGACAATGCTTATGCCGATTCAAGAAAAGTATATTTCGCGCGGTCTTGGGATGCTGGATTATCATCTGCAAACGAATACGTAGCTGGATCTTCACCAAATGGCCAAGTGGTTATCAGGGAATCGACCATCAATGGAGTTATCCCCACAAAGGCCCCTTACACTACGGCCACTAGTGGTAGAACTTATTCGGGTAACGCCGGCAGCAGCAGAAACTTGAACGACGGTAATTACAATAGATTCTGGGAATATGCAAACACCGGAAATGCAGCATAAGTTATGACTAAATAAAGATTGAAATTCGACTGGCGTTCATATATTATTTCTGTATATCGACTTTTTTATGTATGCAATAGATTACTGTTATTGATTTTACATTATTCCTATGAACGGAAACATAACGTCAAAGCAAAGAACTATTTTTGTGTGCCCAACTTTCTGCTGAAAGTTACTCAGGCAATGCGAAAAATGCGAAACCGTGTTTAAAACAGCTCCATTGTCAACTTTGTTGGTACTTCCGTTCTGATATTATTCATTCTCTGGGCTGCAGGTGGTCGTAATTTTCCGATTTCAGCAGCATGAGCTGCGCATATCTGCTGCTCAGAATGTTACTGTTAAAATAACGTATTTTAGCATTAGGTTAAAATAACGGTACTAACTCACCGTTATTCCTTCTTCAGCGGTTGGACACATCAGTTCTTGAAAAGCGGAATATCTGCCGCCTAGAGAGAGAAGGGTAAAGAGTCTTGTAATCTTTTGAAAGGCCATTGGTGATCTACAATTTAATTAAAAAATAAATATCAACAGCTATCAAACAAAAAATAACGATTTTATGTAAAAATTAGTAAAAAACTGTTTAAGTTCACTAATGACTCGAAAAAGTCAGAAAGAACTAATTGAGGTAGAATAAATCCACACGAGCAATTGAATCATTCTCTCGGTCGTTGCGGCTAAATACTGGTCCCGTTTAAGAAAATCAAGTCGTTCACTCGTTGGAATTACAGTTGCTATATGTTTTTGTCCACATTTCGAAAAATTTCATTTGCGCAAAGAGCAAAATGAACTGATAGTACAACCGGAAATAATGGCAAATGTTTATTACTGAAGGGAAAAGAATTTGAGTGACTAGAAATAAGACATAATTATATAAATCTCATTATGAGGTGTGCACATGATAGTGTTTATTTATATAGACGGTCAACCACTTCTGCCATCGACTGCTTCGATAATTTCGTAGTCTGTATTACGTTTAGTATACCATCAAGTATGAGTATGCCTTCCATTAACCTTATGGAGTTGAATCATGAACCCTAAAAGTTGGCAGTCTGAGCAGGCTCGGAGCTTTCAACATGTGGGTATATCTACGAATGTTGCGAGTCCCTTTGACGGCTCACACTACCCACTTCAACTCGGAAGTCCTGCATCGAATGGGCAGATAACGTGAGATCATCAAAATCATAACAAAGCGGAAAACTGCAGTTTTAGCTTATGTAATGTGATACAATAGATATGAATTAAAACAGCTAATGATAGAAGGCAAGATCGAACGGAGACGCGGACCAGGTCGCAGACAGTGCTTCTAGCTTAAGAACATACGAGACTGGATAGGTTTCGGTTTAAAGGACTGCTGCTGAGGGAGACCCAGGAGAGAGAAGAATTAGTAAAATTTTTTTGTCGATCTTCAATAGGAGAAATCACTAGAAGTATATGACTAACTCTCTAAGTACTTTAGACACAAACAACTTACAACACAAAAATATTAATAGAAACATAGACTTATAAATATATAAAATACATTAACAACTTATATTTGAAATATATAGGGTGATTCAAAATTGGCGTCATTCCTGTTAAGGGGTGATCGAGGCTCCCTTGGGGAGTACGAGAAAAATATTGAAAATTTTTTTTTCGAAATTTTCTAGATATTAACAGTTGAAGATCAAATTTTAACTTTGTTATTAAGCATTATTTTGAAATTGTTCTAGGTTTAATTGGTAGCATATTGGAATACTTCAAAAAGAAAAATTACCATCTTTGCTTCAAAATACGAAAATTTTTGATATCAAAAAAGTTTTCTCCTACAATTTTTTGATGAAAAGGCACAGCGGCAATGATGTTTTTTGTCATTAACAGATAGTTACAGGTGGATAGCCCTTGTCAATAATAACAATAATT